CCCCACACATGTGGAACCCCTGGATGCAGAACCTACAGATATGGAGGGCCAACTATATATCATTGCAGAGCTCTTATGCTTTCCATGATGTTTAATGTTAACTATTTAAATAGACTGTAGTAACTTGAGGATCCATATTATAATCCTTAGAATGTTACCCTCTCCTCCTAAAAAGAACTACAGAACAATTAAAATAAAACATTGAAAAATATTTAACTGAAATTAAGGGAGGAAAGTGTGGAACAGGAGGAGGGGAAAGAAGCAGACAAGAACAGAAATAGAAAACAAACAACAAAATGGTTGTTTTGAACAGAGTCATTTCAGTAATTACATTAAAAATAAAGGGACTGGCTCGGCGCCTATGGCTCAAGTGGCTAAGGCACCAGCCACGTACACCTAAGGTGGCGGGTTCAAATCCAGCCCGGGCCTGCCAAACAACAATGATGGCTGCAACCGAAAAAAAATAGCCACGCATTGTGGCGGGCACCTGTGGTTCCAGCAACTTGGGAGGCAGAGACTCGCTTGAGCCCAGGAGTTGGAGGTTGCTGTGAGCTATGCCATGGCACTCTACCCAGGGGGACAGCTTGAGGCTCTGTCTCAAAATAAATAAATAAATAAATAAATAAAGGGACTAACAAAATCTTAGCCAGTAGATTACAGCTTATCATCAAAAAAATCATACATCATGATCAAGTAGGTTTCATCCCAGGGATGCAAGGTTGGTTTAATATACCAAATCTATAAACTTTATTCACCGTATCAACAGAAGTAAAACCAAAGACTGTATGATCCTCTCAATAGATACAGAAAAAGCATTCGATAAAATCCAGCGTCCTTTTCTAATTAGAGCACTGAAGAATATAGGCATACATGGCACATTTTTGAAACTGATCGAAGCTATCTATGAGAAACCCACAGCTAATATTTTACTGAATGGAGTAAAACTGAAAGCTTTTCCTCTGCGTACTGGAACCAGACAAGGTTGTCCTCTGTCACCATTGCTATTCAACATAGTGCTGGAAGTTCTAGCCAATACAATTAAGCAAGACAAGGAAATAAAGGGCATCCAAATGGGAGGAGAGGAAGTCAAATGCTCCCTTTTTGGTGACGATATGATCTTATACTTAGAGAACCCAAAAGACTCAACCACGCTGGAAGTCATCAAAAAATTCAGTAATGTCTCAGGATATAAAGTCAATGTCCACAAGACAGTTGCCTTTGTATACGCCAATAACAGCCAAGATGAGAGGCTAATTAAGGACATGAATCATTTTACCATAGCTTCAAAGAAAATGAAATACCTAGGAATATACCTAACAAAGGAGGTGAAGGACCTCTATAAAAAAAATTATGAAACCCCAAGAAAGGAAATAGCAGAGGATATTAACAAATGGAAGAACATACCATGCTTATGGCTGGGAAGAATCAACATTGTTAAAATGTCTATGCTTCCCAAAGCACTCTACCTATTCAGTGCCATCCCTATTAAAATACCAACATTGTATTTGGTATTGGTAAATACCAACTTTCAAGATTTTGAGAAAATGATTCTGTGTTTTGTATGGAACCAAAAAAAAAAAAAAAGACGCCTGTATAGCTAAAGCAATTCTTAGTAATAAAAACAAAGCCGGGGCATCACCATACCAGATTTTAGGTTGTACTATAAAGCCATAGTGGTCAAGACAGTATGGTACTGATACAAAAGTAGAGACATAGACATTTGGAATCGAATAGAAAGTCAGGAAATGAAACTAATATCTTACAACCACCTAATCTTCGATAAAGCACATAAGAACATACCTTGGGGGAAAGACTCCCTATTCAATAAATGGTGCTGGGAGAACTGGATATCCACATGTAAAAGGCTAAAACTGGACCCACGCCTTTCCCCACTCACAAAACTCAATTCAAGATGGATAAAGGACTTAAATTTAAGGCATGAAACAATAAAAATCCTCAAAGAAAGTATAGGAAAAACACTGGAAGATACTGGCCTGGGGAAAGACTTCATGAAGAAGACTGCTGGGACAATTGCAACAATAAAAATAAACAAATGGGACTTAATTAAACTGAAAAGCTTCTGTACAGCTAAGGAGACAACCAAAGCAAATAGACAACCTACAAAATGGGAAAGGATATTTGCATATTTTGAATCAGACAAAAGCTTAATAACTAGGATCTACAGAGAACTCAAATTAATCCACATGAAAAAAGCCAACAATTGGAGAAGCACCTGTGACTCAAAGGAGTAAGGTGCTGGCCCCATATGCTGGAGGTGGTGGGTTAAAACCTAGCCCTAGCCAAAAACTGCAAAAAAAAAAAAGCCAACAATCCCATATATCAATGGGCAAGAAACAGCCTAAATGCCCACCAACTCATGAATTAATTAACAAGCTGTGATATATGTATACCATGGAATACTATTCAGCCATTAAAAAAGTGGGGACTTTACAGCCTTTGTATTAACATGGATGGAAGTGGAACACATTATTCTTAGTAAAGCATCACAAGAATGGAGAAGCATGAATTCTGTGTACTCAATTTTGATATAAGGAAATTAATGACAAGGGGAGGGGTTGATGAGAGGAAGATGGAGGGAGGAGTGGGGAAGGGATTAGCAGAGAGAGTGACAGGGCGGGGGGGGGGTCTTGGTGTGTGCCACACCTTTTGGGGGCAAGACATGATTGTAAGAGGGACTTTACCTAACAAATGCAGTCAGTAAAACCTGGTTTCATGTACCCTCAATGAATCCCTAACAATAAATTTAAAATAAAAATAGTACTTAAAAATTTTTTTTAAATTAAAGTATAATTTACATAGAATAAAATTTATGAGTCCTAAGGTCCAGTTTGAAAAAAAACAAAGGGACTAAACTATCCAATTAAAGAATCAGTGATTTTTTAGACTGGATAAAAATATAAGACCCAACTATATCTTGTCTACCTATTGCACATTTAAAATATGGAAGTTTAATTAAACACAGTTTATCTCTCATATTGGTGTGTGTTTTAAAGTTTATATCAGGTGTCCTCAAACAATGGCCCGCAGGGCACATGTGGCTCGCTGGGTGTTTTTACCCCCACAGCCTGTCCTGCTTGGCAGCCGACTCGCCCTGGGGCCTGCAGTTCAGCCCTCCAGTGGTCTGAGGGACAGTGAACTGGCCCCCTGTTTAAAAAGTTTGAGGACCCCTGGTTTATATTATGATGGCACATCTGTAAGTCTAAGAATTGGGTATTCAGAAAGAATAGTTTGGGTGGCTTAGAAAAAGTACCACAGGAGAGATTATAAGAGAATAATAAAATACTACAGTAGAGGAGACCAAGGAGATCTGGATTCTTATTTCAGTTTTACCAGTACCCTTGGGAAATCACTCCTTCTTTTCCTATGCACTTTACCAATATTTCTATATCCACCATGTTCAATTTTTTTCACATTCAAATTTAAAAATAAAATTGGCATAAATTGTATTTCTTCTCTAAGGATTTTTATAGTGAAAAGAAGAATAATGTCATTGACTAGAAGATGTCATCTTGGGCAATATCATTTCTTCAAATTTATATTGATGATATGTGTATTTCTTGGCATATTCCTACATACATACTGCTTAACATTCTTTTTTTTTGGAGATCAAGTCTCACTATATCACCCTCGGTGGTGTGCTATGGCGTCACAGCTCACAGCAACCTCAAACTCTTGGGATTAAGCAATTCTCTTGCCTCAGCCTCCCGAGTAGCTGGGACAACAGGTGCCCATCACAAGACTCAGCTATTTTTTTTTGTCGCAGTTGTCGTTGTTTAGCAGACCCGGGCTGGATTTGAACCCACCTGCCCCAGTGTATGTGGCCAGCACCCTAACCACTGAGCTACAGGCGCCAAGCCTGCTTAACATTCTTATGTGCTACATGAAGTGATGGCTGTGAGCACTGTAAGAACATTAAATGTTGTTTTTATCATGAATAACTTAGCTATGTTGAATTTAGATAATGTTTGATGGTACAGTTATAAAACTTTCCTTTTTAAAATGCCTTTCTACTGTCTTAAAATCTGTTGAAAGGTTTAATTTTTATAAAATGTAAACACAATCATGAATTTCAACTTTTCTCATTACAGTCCTGTTTAATATCATAGAGAAAATAAACTGGAGGATGGGCCAGTTTTGAACATACATGTAATGGGTGCCAAAAGTCAGAAATAGTTAAATTTATTTACCTTTGGGTGATATTTTTAAAAACAAATAATAAATATATCTCATGCTTGACCCTAAGGTAAAATTGTGAGTGGCTGCTGAAATATTTGTACTTGGAGATACTGCTTTTAATATTTCACAAAGGTTAAACCAAAGTTAGACACTGTGATTTTTAGAGTTGTATTTTTACAGAGGTGAAGTAGAGGTTAATGATTTTTTTCTTTATTTTTTTAAGACAGAACCTCAAGCTGTCCCCTCTGGGTAGAGTGCTATGGCATCACAGCTCATAACAACCTCCAACTCCTGGGCTCAAGCGAGTCTCCTGCCTCTGCCTCCCAACTAGCTGGGACCACAGGCGCCAGCCACAGCGCCTGGCTATTTTTTTGTTTTTTGGTTGCAGCTGTCATTGTTGTTTGGCGGGCCCAGGCTGGATTCAAACCCGCCACCTTAGGTATATGTGGCTGGCGTTTTAACCTCTTGAGCCACAGGCGCCAAGCCGGTTAATGATTTCTCCTTCAATTAATATTCATATACTTCTAGTAAAATAATTCTTTGAGGGCAATCAAATGAAGACTTAGGAAATCACAAGTGTGTCAGTGTTTATTTGATATTTAGGTGGGCCCTGGGGAATTCTTGAATGTATGTGGTTCTGTCTGTGTCCTCTCCTAAGTAAGGAAGGTATTCCTTAAATAAAGTAGATAAATTATAATGGTTGAATGATGGTAGTATCAGAAATATCCCGAAAAATAAAAATGTCCAATTTATTTGATGATAAATAACTCTCCAGTTTAGCTCTATTTTTTTTTCTCTTGCAGTAAACATTGCTGTCTTTGAGAAGTTAAGGAATAATAGGCAAGGAAGAAAAGGACATTCATCTTAGAAAGACCGAAAGCACTTCGAAGTTTTGAAGGAATATAACACTAATTGCTAAAACCACCTTTGTTACCAGAATGGATGGAATTCTTCATATTTAAATGGTAATCAGAATTCTGTCATATTACATTTCCCCCAAGAATTTTAGATGACTTGAAAGGATTTCTTTTTAAGTTTAAATGTTTACCTTACAAACGCTTAACTATAGGCAAAGCTGATAATTTTATAACTTATTTAGCATAATTATCTTGCAGAAATTGTAAGTTTTTCACAAGGATACAGAATAGAAAAGGAGAGAGAAATTTGAAAAAATAATATTAATAAAATTTTTCTTTTTGTGTAATTGCATGGGCTATTAGATTTTAAGTAGAGTGGAAAGGACTTAAGATTCTTTATCAGTGTTCTTAAATCTTGATCTTAGGCCAAAATTATTTCAATGCATGATTTGTAAAGATTCAAATATTTGCAATTTTTTGTCATTCTAGTGAATAATTACAATTTGTATTTATTGGATATTTGTCTACTAACGTGGTTTTGAGGGATAATAATTATTTGTTAGTTTGAGTTAGTATGTTTTGGTAGTGAATGGCTGTAAATGACTAAAACTCGGCCCCTTGCTGTGAAATGGAAGAGATATGAAACTTCAATCAAATACAGTATCAAGTATGTATTAGTCCTAATTATTCCAAGGAACACAAATCCTATTTTAAGGAAATGATTCAATTTGATAAGTATAACCCAGGATAAATCATATACCAAATAATACTCTGATTATTCTTCTCTGTGCCAATATTAACCTTTATAAGAAAAAAATCTTAACAGTGATTTAAGGAAAAAACCCTCCAATTGTGGGTTAAACCTGTACTTAATGGCATTTTATTGGAGCTTTTCTGTGACCTTGTCACTGATAGCCATGTAGCCATATTCATCTCTTTTTAAATGCCCAATAAATTCTTCCTAGTCCTCAACGATTTAAAAAAATTTAAAAGTTAAAGCAGCTTCGGAAACAGCAGAAATTGAAATACAGAATGTTTACTTAAGCAAGTGAAAGAATGTATAGAAAATCACCAAATTTCCCTGTCTTCTCTGTTAATAAGCTAAGTTTACTCATTTACTTATACTACATATCTGCCTCTATAATCTAATCAAAATCTTTACTGTGATGTTTACCACAACTTATTACACTCCCACTTTCATTTAAATTCATCCAGTGATTTTTAGTCACTGTGGATAGGATCATTGCAATTGACAGGTAGTATCACAGTAGTCATCTAATCTTTAATTTCTACTTGTTTTACTACTGAATTTATTTTCAAGGCAATGATGATATCAGAACAGATTAGATTAGAACTTCACCTCTCTACAAAATAAGAGAACTGGATTGATTCTCCAACCCCTCCCAGTTTAGAAGTCTATAACCCATTCATGAGGTCAATAAAAAAGACCCTCAACATTTACATATTTGTTGCCAACCTATTTATCTCTAAAATCCAAAATCAACTGTGACCTTTGAATGAGGAAATGAAATCAGATTTCTAGTTGTGTCATACATAGAATTTCTAATTTGTACAACTAGAAATTTAAATTTATAATGGCATGAGCTGTCATGCCCACATTAAGAAACTAAAATTTAAAGGATGAGATTCTAGCTATATAATGTCAAGGTTAAGTCAAACACCTGGTTTTATCACAGTTCATTTCAGTAGCTGAAAATTATGGTAAATTCTTGTAGACAGGAAGGCCACTCTGAATATTTTGGTATCTGTCTAGAATCTTAAATTCTTAAAGATTAACAGGCCTTTAAACAATCCTTTATAATACCTTCATTTAGGGAAACTTCCCTTGTGTAGGAAAGAACTATGTGCAGTTTGTCCAGACAAAAATTAATTTTAGATAATAGTAATTAATATATAGAGAGTCCTTACCAATATGCCAAGCATTGAGATTAGTGTGCTGAGTCCATTTGTATGGCTATATTAAAACTTCTTTAAACTGGGTGGCTTATAAACAATGAAAATATATTTCTCACAGCTCTGGAGGCTTGAGAGTCCTAGAGCAAGGTGTCAGCATATGTAATGTTTAGGGTGGATCAGCTTTCTGGGTCATAGACAGTATCTTTTCACTGTGTCCTCACGTAACAGAAAGGGCAAGTGAGCTCTCTGGAGTTCATTTAATAAGGGCACTAATCCCATGCAGGAGGGCTATGTCTTCATGCCAAAGCCCCCACCTCCAAATAACAACACAGTGGGGATTAGGTTTTAATCTAAGAATGTTGAACTGACACAAACATTCTTTGTATGGTATATGCACTATCCTTAAGCCCCACAACTCTGTTTTGACATAGATCCTATCATTAAATATTTCCATTTTACATACGAGGAAACTCATTCTCAAGTTAAGTAAATTGCCCAACATCAAGTGGCTAGTTAAACTTAAAGCCAAGCTGTCTGAATCCATAACCAAGAGTTTATTCTAGTTTACAGACACTTAAATCCAACCTTTTGAAGTTGCTTCTTCATTACCTATTTGTATATAATGAGATCTTATCATTAACAGAATTTTTATGGCAACTCTGTAAAATTATGCTTCTTTGAGATACATATTATGGTTTATTTTTGCAGCATCAATTTTATTTCATCAGTTTATGAGTGTTCTAGTTATGTTCCTAAAGTGTTATTATATAATGTTAAAGAAAGATATATTTATAAAACTGTAGCTTGGCTTTTTAAAACAATAATTTAATCTACTACTAAGTAAAGTTACTTGAAGATGGTTAATAGTAGTAGACCTCACATTTTATCTGAGACACAGGAGTCAGAAGGATAGGAGATATGGGTGAAGAAAAATACAAAATTAAGCTCTCTACTCAATAGATTTATCATCAGAAAGTTTGAAGGCTATAAGGCAGAAAGTTGATTTATGCAATGTGCTAAAAGAAAAAAACTGTCATCCAAGAACCCTCTATCTGTTAAAACTGTTCTTCAAAAGTGATGGAGAAATTAAGTCATTCCCAGATGAGCAAAACCTAAGGTAGTTAATTACAACTAGAGCTGCCACACATGTAATGCTCAGGGAGTCCTATAGGGCAGAATGAAGGACATTAGAAAGTGACTCAAAGCCACATAGGCATCAGGCTGGGTATGGTGGCTCACACCTATAATCCTAGCACTTTGGGAGGCTGATGCAGGAGAATTGCTTGAGGCCAAGAGTTCAAGACCAGCTTGAGCAAAAGCAAGACCAGTCTCTGCCAAAAATAGAAAAATTATCCAGACGTAGTTTTGTACACCTGTAGTCCCAGCTACTCAGGAGCCTGAGGCAGGATGATCACTTGAACCCAGGAGTTTGAGTTTGCAGTGAGCTATGATGACACCACTGTATTATAGACTAGGCAACAGAGCAAGACCCTGTCTCAAAAAAAAAAAAAAGAAAGAAAGAAAAAAAAGGAAAAGAAATAAAGATCTCAATAAGGTAAGTAGAGTGGCAATTATAAAAGGTAGTATTGGCTCGGCGCCTATAGCTCAAACGGCTAAGGCGCCAGCCACGTACACCTAAGATGGCGGGTTCAAATCCCCAGCCCGGACCTGCCAAACAACAATGACGGCTGCAACCAAAAAATAGCCGGGCGTTGTGGCGGCCGCCTGTGGTCCCAGCTACTTGGGAGGCGGAGGCAGGAGACTCGCTTGAGCCCAGGAGTTGGAGGTTGCTGTGAGCTGTAATGCCACGGCACTCTACCCAGGCGGACAGCTTGAGGCTCTGTCTAAAAAAAAAAAATAAAATAAAAAGGTAGTATTATAACAGTGGTCTGTTACTCTTTGTTTTCTACATGACTTAAGATTTTTGTTAATCTAAAAACTAGCATTATGGTAACTTTGGTTTGTAACTCCTTATTTTCTTTTATGCATAATTTAAGAGACTAATATATTTTAAACGTATTTAAAATACTAATGTATTTAAAATGTGTTTCTAGGCACACAGTATATAAAGATACAGTTTTGTGACATCAGTAAATGAGGGGTAGGTACTGAACTATAAAGGAGCAGAGTTTGGGGATGTTATTGAAGATGGTATAAATTCAAATTAAAGAGTGTTATGACTTTAAGGAGGTTAAATACAGTGCCTATGATTACCACAAAGAAAATAGCTATAGAATGTACACAAAAGAAATCAATAATTAGAAAAGAAATAGAAATAAAAGGCAGCCAAATTAGAAAGGGAGAGACAAAATTACTTCTTGTTCATAGATAATATAATCTCATATGTAGAAAACCCTAAAAATTTCACAAATGAATTTAACAAGGTAGCAGGATGCAAAGTCAACACACAAAAATTCCTGGAGCAATAGTGAGGGAGAAGATTCGTGTGGGTGAAGAGAACACTTTATTACCCTTTGAGTCATTGTGCCAACTGTAATTAGCAGTAAATGTTTTAAGTTAATTATAATCAGTTGAAACATACGAGGTGATCAAATAGTATAATAAATGCAGATAACATCCTTGCTTCTGTTACTAGAAGGGAAATTCACTCACCATGTTCTTATAACAGTGAACAACTGAAGTATGCAAAAATTCTTACAATGGACTGGCTAGTTATTCCCAGCCTCACTAGTCATTTACTTCTGAAGGAATTATCAGAATTAAATGTGCTAGCAGTGGAGTTAGCATTATCATTCTGACTTGCCCCTTTTGAAGACATACAATTCTGGTACATGGTTATAGGAAAATTTACCTAAAAATCCAAAATTATCAAAATGAAAAAAACTTGATCCCTAAGAAACTCATTCTTCTTTGAGTTGGTCCCAGCATTTGTTTCCTTCTATTGATTTGGCATATCGCAGGCAAGGAAAACAAAATATTCTGGTACTTGTAACATACTCTGTTGTATTATGGATATTATGGGTCATTGTATACCTTCTGCTTAAAGCACAGGTATGTTTCATGTGAGAACTATTTAAAGGGAAAGATGACACAGATCTTTTTTTAGATTTCAGAGGGGGAAACGCGAAGTCATAATTTTTATTTCCAGATAGAATTTCTTAACTAGTATTTCTCCTCTACCCTACTATACATCTGCCAAGAACAGAAAAGTGTTTAGATTTTTGGACACT